TGAAGGTGTGGTATACGTGTGGATGGGTATGGGTGAGTGTGAGAGGGTGTGGGAGGAAGTGGGTGTGGGTGGGTGTAGGTGTGAGTTGGTGCGTATGGGTGAGTTGGTGTAGGTTGATGTGGGTGAGCACCGTCGTCCTTCCGTCGTAAGCACTACAACGGGTCTTTCGCAAGAATATGTGGTGCTGCTTAGTTTATACGTGAAGGTAATTCCACTGAGCAGTTGTGGCCATAATTAGAACGTCCAGAGAGGCTCGAATTATGGGTGAATCAGACGAGATAAGGTATACAGAAAATGATGTAAAAGACTAAACCTTTTGGCTTTCACGTTGACATCTGGCCTGGCATGCGACGCAGTACCCAAGTGCGCGGAGCGTGCTCTCGAGACTCGCTCCAGTGGTTATTTGGTAGTTTGCTTTTGTCTAAGTCTTCTCTGTGATGTTCCATTCAGTCATGATGATGAGGGAGGGGAAGGGGCGGGGAGAGACGCGTGCCAATTAGAGTTATTTCGAACGCGTCGCAACGATCAGTGTATTACATATGACGCCCGTGAAAGCCAAAGGGTGAGTCCGTTTTTCTGGATGACTCTTCTTTTACAGAAGCCAGGTTGCATCTCATCATACACCTTAGCCTTTGTTGGGAGTGCATGATTAGCGACTTTGTTACAGTGTACAGTGATTAAATGGAGTGAACTTCCGTTGAGAAGTTAGGTGTCTTTCCTCGGGGTAGAAATACCGATGAATACAAGAAACTGCTAATTTGTGTTGTTGATACGGTCACTAAAAAAAAGGAAAAGTTGCGGTGATTTAAAGTGACGAAAATCGGAGCCAGGACACAATCAATCTCGCAAGGTTGTCGATTCATTCAATTTCGTGATTTCACAATTTTCTGTGGGTAGTCCTGATTTTACATTTTTTCTCTAACCGAACTTACAAAACAAGTCCCATATCTTCTGAAAAAGTATTCTTTATTGATTAGCTAGGCTAAGTATGTGAACAACTTAGGAATCAGGAGAGCTACGACACAATTGTTTGCCCTAGAAAGTGAACAAAAATAGTTATGAACACACAAATTCTTCTTAGAAAGTGAACAAACAATGTTACAGAAATTTTATGTCTGAACCCGTTAATGGAATGAATACCGATAGAGACATCAGGCCAAATAGTTAATGAATAAATGATAATGAATTAGTGGAAGACCATTGCATTATCTCTTTTACAACAAGAAAAAATATGGAAAAAATGTCATGGTTTGTTCAAAATAAAGTGTATCAAAACAAATCGCAGCTACAAAATTCATTGAAATTTCGTAAGACTATAAAGTGTCATAACATGTCATTGTGATCGATTCCACACAATCTCACGCATTGTGGAAAACAAGTTCCTTAAATTCTTTGAATTGTGCTTTTTACAGTATTCTCCAACGACACCATCAGCGACGTGAAAGAAGGAACAGTCATAACAGATCTTGCGCCATGCTAAAATACTTATCAACATTCTCGAGAACAATACCCAAAAGTTGGAACAGGAAAGAATGATGCAACTTACAGTGAGAATGATTCACATCTTCACGATCTTCTAATGATAATACCTCTAATAAAACGTCAAAGATTAGTCGAATAATTAAAAAGCTTGCCTACTTCGATAACGACGTATGCGCAAGAGTCGGTTCACACCTGTAGTTCAAAAAGAATTCATTTTGAATAATCTCTCACGTCCTCTTTTGCACATAATGGGACACATGTTCAAGGCTTCAAGAATTAGCAATTTGTTTATAGAAGATTAGAAGAAACTGTGAAGTAGAATTGCATACAGGATAAAAGGATAAAGCTCTCGGCGTTGATCAATCCCTAAGGGATGCGCCATGCATTCGACGCCAATTTTTAACTTCGTTTGAGGTGATTGAATGCACATCTGGCCTTTATAATGACTCGCGGTGGCCTCCCGCTGAACCGAGTCAGTGCTGCTTATCCTCCCAGACAAGTTTGAGACCTGTTTGGTACCAATTTACCGACCCCGGAGGGATGGATGGCTTGGTGAGCCATGAGCGCGAGATCGAACCAGTGACCTCGTGTGCGACGCGGGGCACCTCTGACCACTGCGCCACATGCGCTCGTAGAATTGCATACGTTCAGATATCTGAACTTTATGCCACAAAATAATTTTTGAGCCACGCATGTTGTAAACAAAAGATATGATATATCTGAACTCTGCATAAGGAGGAAACTGAAGCAATATTTTCGCACGCCTTATCGAGACGAGCATGGTTATCAATCTGTTCCTTGTATCAAGGAGTCTTGAGTTCATATTACTAAGGTTAATATGGTAGAGAATACGACTCCGCTGTATATACCAATATGTTAAAAAATGAATGAGGTAAATATTTTAGTGGGCAGGGAATGAATTCTCGCTATTTCAATTACATGAGGTCTAAAGTGTCCAAAATTGAAGTATATGCCAAAATTCTAGTATTTTTACTGCTTTTTCGCAGTGTTATGATGCTTCATATACACCTAAGAGAATTGAGTGGTGAACAAAAACAAGGCCTCAGGAGCGAGTCGAACCTGCGTTTCATACACACCGGAGACACGTGCTGATCCACTACACCACCGCAACACATTTGCGCCACCATTCATTCTTCGACATCTCTATGTTAGCTATCAGTCACTAACCTTTAACAGCTTGGTCGGGTATGATTTTGCTTTATAAATCCTGTTGAGCCGACAGCCATTGTTAGAACTAATACTCCGAAATTCTAGTATCTTTACTGCTTTTGCTCACCACTCAGTTCTTTTAGTTATATATGTAACATCATGATACTGCGGAAAAAAAGTAAAAATACTAAAATTTCCGAGTATTAGATCTAATAATGGCTGTCAGCTCAGCTGGGCTTATAAAGCGAAATCGCATGCCCGACTAAACCTGTTGAACGTTTGGTGGCTGATAGCTAACATAGAAATGTTGAAGAATGAGTGATGGCACAAATGTGCCTCGGTGATGCAGTGGTATCAGCACGCGTCCCAGGTATGGACGAGATGCGGGTTCAATTCTCGCCTGAGGTCTTGTTTTTGCTCACCACTCATTTCTCTTAGGTGTAAGGTATATGGTCAAAGATCTTCACGAAGATTACGAAGAAAAGTTTGGAATTGTCTATGTCCTTCGGTCAGGAAGAATCTCACCAAGTTAATCTAATCCACAACAAGGCCAGTACTCAGAATTTCTATATGAGGCCTTTAACAAACTCTCGCATACACACGTGTAAACATTCTGATACACGTTTGTTTCATTAAAAGATATCATTCAAAACGAAAGATTTTGACCTAACTGAAAATTCTGGCAAGGTTCCTACATAATTACCAAAAACTGTTAGCTCTTTAGAAAATGTCAAGTCGAATCACGGCGAACATCTCTTTTTCTGGCATATGAGTTGATATGATGGCGATCTGTGAAGACCCTGAGAAAGCGACCTCAAAATTCCATTAAAAGACGGCAAGTAAAACACTTTGAAGAAGCTCATTTTTGCGCAGAGTAATTTCGGTATTTTTAATAAGGAGGCGACTATATTATCATTCAATTGATAATGGCACTACGCTGCTTTTCGACAAGAAATTTCAAAATTATTTTTGGTGCACAGAATTTTCATTGCAGTTCCGGTAGTCATTCAAAACTTTAGATCTTGAAGAATTCCATAATGTATCTGATAGTTTGAAAGGCTTTATAGCGCTGTAGCAGCAAAAAATAGACTGGCTCTTCACGCTTCAAAAAAACTTCCTTACAGCGCTCTAGCAGATAAATAGATTTGTGTTTCATACACTCGTATTCCTACCACGGCAGAGCTTTCTCTCAAATTACCAATAATCATTCAGCAGCACAAAATTAGGCGATTCCAGTACTATGCCTGTTTTTCAAAAAGACTTTCGCAATGTGTTGCCATAGATAAATTGAATTTGAGCTTCGTATACTGGTCGCGTTGCCCGTCAGCCATGGAGTGTGTCTGGCAGGTTGTTGATCGCACTGCGTGTTCACATATGTGGCGTAATTTCTGTTATTAAATTTGGGATCTCTTCTCTGCTTTGAATAAAATTAATGCAAAACATATGGCTGTGCTACTCTAAGATTCCCTCTATAGGTGCATATGCTTTTTGCGCATGAGCTTGAGCTGCAGAGACTTATGTTAATTGGCGAGTTTTATTTTGTATAATGAAGTGAAATAAAGAAGTTCAAGCCTACAAAACGAAAGATCAAAGTTCCTTCTACATTATAGTACAAAAACGTCTGAATCTCTGCGAAACGGAAGAAGACAATAAATATCGAGAATTCGAGCGATATTGCGCGCCGAATGTGAAACTTAGCATAATTCCTGCCGCTGCAGCGCAATAAAAAGGCCAGTTGAGAGATGATTACAACATTGAAATTGTACCAAAAGCAATCAACTTTCAAACTCCTAAACACTGTTGGCTATTCTTACTGAGCAGTTTTTTATAACTTTTCAACGATTTTGTATATGTATGTTATTCTTCGGGGAGCGTTCAATGAGCAAAATGTTTATATCCCTCTAAGGATCAAGCGGTACGTTTCGTACCGGCCGCGCGACATCAAACGCGCCTCGTGAGAAAGGAGGCGCGTATTGTGGAAAGACAGAAGCAGACCGAATTACATAGCTGCGCAGACACGTAGAGCCATCTGCCAGCGAATCTGAAGAACAAGCTTTCTAATGTACTTACCACTTTTCGCAGTATTATGATGCGTCAAATATGCCTAAGTGAATCGTGTGGTAGGCATAGATTCGACCTCTAACGAGATCCAAACCCGCGTCTCATCCATACAGGGGCCGTACCACCACTGCACCACCGAAACCACCACTTGCTCATCACCACTTCATCAATATCTCTCAATCGTAGTTTTCGACCATCAACCATTAAGAATTTTGGTAAAGTAGTTTCACTCTATAAACTCAGTTAAGCTGAAGGCCACTGAAGTTAGATAGTTGAAGTGGCAAACAGTTTCACTACTTCGGATCGAATTCAAGTCTAAAAAACGCCTTTGTTTGATAGCTGAAAAAAAGAAATATTGATCACGCACAACGAAAAGAGCCGGACAACAGGTTGTCATCACAAGATACGCTTGTTGAGCTTCAGCGCAAAGCTTTCAATATTTTTCACTCTTACATCTAGTGATCTTCACTGATCTCCCTCTTTAAGGGATCCCGCTTGACTAGTCGCAAGGACACGTAGTGCGTCCAGAGGTGGTGGATAGGGGAATGAACGTGAACCAAAAGCGATCGTGTGTTTCCCAGAGACACGGGTGTATTTAGAGAATGAGCTCTTTGCTTCTGTAGCGCCGATCTGAGAAAACTATATTATTACGAGCCAAGTCGACCAAAAGCCTGCAATCAAGCGGGTAGGAAGTATATGGAAGGCGGTTAGGAGTCGCCTCCAACAAATAAGCTCTTCCGCTCCTCTGAGAAAAACTGGCAAGCTACTCGTGAGTGCCCAGCCCCCACTTTTAGAGCCTAGCAAGCTATACGTTGGGTATCAATATGCTAAAAATAGTAACAAATATGGGCCTCATTCCCCTGACCCCGAAAGAGCCCCTGGTACGGTAGAGCCAGATAAGACGAGTACGGAGAGGCTGTTAATATCTCAGGGCCGAATTAGGCTGCCAAGATCGAAAAGGACTAAAATGACGATCTGTACCTACAATGCAAGAACCCTTGCTCACGAATCCGCTGTAGAAGATCTATTGATTCAAGCAAGAAGAATAAGGTACGACGTCTTGGCCTGGCTGAGACGAGAAGGCGCCATCCTTTTCACGCTGTTTATGACACCGGAGAAGAACTGTTCCTTGGTACATGCGATCGCAGAGGTGTCGGTGGCGTTGGCGTCCTCGTCAAATCGAATTTGACCATGAGCATTGATTCGTTTGAACAACTAACAACCCGTATCGGACGATTACGGTTGAAACGATGTGGTTCTATGCCGGCTTTGACCATCTTCGTTGCTTACGCACCAACATCAAGCTATGACGAAGACGAAGTCGAAGCGTTCTCTATGGACCTCGAAAAATTCTTCAGAGAAGATCATACATTCTTCAAGGTCACTGTCGGAGATTTTACACGGAAACTGGACCTAGAAGAACGTCTGAAGAACGTCACATGGGACCCACGGACTAGAATGGAATGAACAGGTTGAGAGGCTATCTGAGTTTATCAAGACGACCCAAGTCATCCATGGTAACTCACAATTCCGAAAGCCTCACTCACAGCGATGGACGTGGGAGTCACCCAAGTGAGAGTACCATAACGAGACAGACCACATCTTAGTAAGTCGAAGGTTTTGTATTACCGATGTCGCTGTTGTTTCCAGTTCTCATGGGATAAGAACATCGCCTCCTTCGCGCAACGTTTCGCTTTTCGCGCAAGGGAGAGAAAGCCGCTAAATTCAAATAACGAAGTCCCAGGACTACCATAAACTGGGATGTATTCAAATCATTAGTTGGCTCCTGGGAAGATACCGCTGTCGACAACATCGACAAAGAATACGATTGGCTCGTTGAATATCTCCACGTTAGCGCTGTGAAAGGCGAGAGTCCCAAGGTCATGAAGAGACGCTTGTCTCCGCAAACATTCGAGCAGATAGGTCAACGTGAGATCGCACGAGCTACAGGCAACCGAAATATACGTTCCGATCTTGCGAAACGTGCAGAAAAGCGATAAGGGAATGACTTTAAAGAGAGACGTAACAGCAATTAGGGCAGAAGATGCACGAGCTGGTAAGAGCATTCGCAACGCCCAGCGAGGTTCGCCAATCATAAAACCAAGATGATTGTACTTCTATGCCCTTGCAGGACACATATAGCTTCCAGAAGGGCAATGGAGAAAATCATCCACCACTACTACTTGAATCTCGTCGCTCGCCATGTCCCTTCACCGTCATATAACTTGAAAGAGGACGAATATTTCGTTCCACCGGTCCTCCCTTCCGAAATCCGACATGCTATATCGTCGGTGAAGAAACCGATCTAGACAAGATTAGACCAGGGACCAGAACACCTGCATAACCTACCGCCAGTTCTCATCAACACCTTGGCTCGGCTCTTCACTCACTACCTGTCAGAATGCAAGGTTTCCATTCAATAGGAAAACCAGCAAGACCGTTTGTTGTTTAAAAAGGGAGACCTTCACGACATAGGCAACTCTCTCCCAGTCTGCTTGCTGTCCGTTCTCTATAAAGTTTTCACTCGAGTCATCCTAAACACGATTGACAGAATCACTGGACGAAGGGCAGTTATGCGAACAAGCAGGGTTCCGAAAAAGTGGTTAGTACCATCGACCACATCCACACGATCACAAGACTCATTGAAGTTTCAGGAGAGTACAAACAACCACTCTGTCTTACTTTCATCGATCTGAAGAAAGCCTTTGATTCAGTGAAAACAGAAGCGGTTGTAGAGGCCCTGGATAACCACTAGCGTCCCTACTCGCCACATAATGATCCTTCGGGAGCTTCATAAAGATTTCACGACGAAAATATCTCCATTCTACAACAATATCACTATTGACGTAAGAGGAGCGGTTTCGACAAGGCGATACAATTTCGCCAAAATTATTCACTGCCACCCTCCAAAACGTCATGCGAACATTAGAGTGGGACGATATGAGAGTGAAAATTGACGGTCGGCAAGCAAACCATCTTCACTTTGCTGACGATATCATCCTCATAACACCAAACATCAGCCAAAGGAACGAATGCTGACTCGATTTCGACAACGCCTGTGGAAAGGTTAGTCTTCAACTAAATCTAACGAAAACGATGATCATGAGGAATGGATGGGTTTTGAAAGTCCCATTCACGCTCAACGAAACGGACAATCTCCGAATGCTCCAGTTACGTCTTCTAGGTCGTGAAATCAACATGATGAACGATCTTAGCTCCAGAGTTGAACAGGATGAAACGAGCGGCTTGGAGAACGTTTAGGAGCATCGAAGATGTAGTGAAGAGGACAAAGAACATCCGACTCCGTGCCCACCTTTTCGACTCGACAATTATCCCTGCACTAAGGT